TACATGCCCCTGGTTTCGCCCCCCCTAAGAAAATACCCTGGCGCCGCCCCTGGACACTCCTGATGCTATCCCACATCATACCGTACCATACCGTACCGTCTCATACTACATTGGCATGGTATGTATTTTGTTATTGTATTCGTCGAGGGGATAGGCTATGGTTTCATGTCTGTCCAGCCGCCGCTCGCCACCACCGCCCCTCGCCGCCGCAGACACTTTCCCTTCTGCTCTATAACTCGACCCTTAATTGACCTGGTGCGACCAAACTTGGTATAATTACACATCTTGGGGAGAAGGTGTCGCGTTCCAAAACCAGCTCACTGCGACCTTTATTTGACCTTGACATTGACCTTGATCATATTTTCCTTCTGCTCTATAATTCGACCCTTAATTGACCTGTTGCGACCAAAATTGGTATACTTACACATCTTGGGGAGAAGGTGTGTCGCGTACCAAAACCCCTAAGGTAACCAAATTTGACATACTTGCACATCTCAGGCAGATGAGTTGTGTAACAAACCTTTAATTGTCTTTGTTACTTATTTCACTTTACCTACCTTGTACGTCCTTACGGAGATATTTCATTCATACTATATCGCGGGGGATACATGTAGTTGGCGACTACTGCCATTTCTAGTTATATATAGGTTTAGCTGTGGAATGCTATCCGTTATATTAAGAAAAATGATTCAACGTGGAGTCGAGATGTCTATTGGGTTGGTTGGATGTCTAGCTGATAATACAACCGCGCAGTCAGGGCACACCAGTGAAAAAAATACACGGGGGCTCGGGGCGATTTAGCCCCCGAAATGCCAAAAAGAGCACCAGAAATGCCAAAAAGAGTCCCCATAAATTTGCATAGAGTTCAATGCAAACCAAATTTTAGAGTGCTATTTTCATGCACACGAGCTTGAAAAGTAGCCCCGAAAAATAAATTTTTATTTTTTTCCCTGGGGCACACAGTACGTGTGACAATCCTCTATCATAAATTGTAGCGTATATGGCATGGTCAGTGGGCTCACGAATCCATAAATAAACTTGAAATGAAGTGTGAACTAGTTTTCGTCAGTATACAAAAAGAAGCAAAAAGTAACGTGATTTTAAAACTGAAATTAGTCACATCGGTTGAAATGAAGTTAGCACAAAACCACCTATTACACCAACCCGTGTGTGCGAGTGTTCTATGACATGTTAGCCTTACTAAACACATTTGGTGTTATGCGGGAAGTACCGGTAAGTATCCGAACGGTTGAGAAAACATGTAAACGGTTGGTAAAAAACATGAGAAATTCTCGCTTTAACGCAATGCCATGCGATACATAAACAAACTCGAAATGGGGGTGGGGGCAATGTAAACTTTCAAAGTTCCAAGGTTTAATTAAATAAGTATCTGTCGTGTGAAAGTTTAGAGAGTATTAACAATAATCTCGTGTGTGCATGAAAGAACATCTAGGAGCCTGTTAGCATTGCAAAAATCACCATGGCAACAACAGCATAATCGAATGTCGAGGAAATTCTGCAGGACGGTAGTGCAGCCGTGCTAGACATGCCGAAAAGAAAAGAAAGCAAATAACTCCGAAGATAACGTACACAAAGTGAAATAGATGGGTTGATGATGCCGTGGCTGCTGCTGCCGAGGAAAACTCGTGTTACTACGTGCTTGTGATGGGGTGGGGTATGTGGGGGTGTAGCTTTAACTAAAGCTGGGTTTACACTATAAAAAAGTCGACGAGTTGATTCAAGTTTTTCAACGTTCTGTCAAACTTTCTATCAGATGTTCAAAGTTTTGACTGAACAAGTCGGCCGGTGAAGTGTTGACTGAACCCGCTGATCGGCGGTGTTTCTCGGTGATCGCTGGATCGAATGCTAACGTTTCGCTGCGTTAATATTGACTGGTGCAGCGATAAGTTCGTAATGTACGCCTTCATGAAAGCGCATCCACCGTGCAGCCCGGGGTAAAAGAAGCGTCTTCTTGGTGCATTATCCTTGTGCGCAGGCTTCTCAGAGTCTATTTATTCGAATTTTTGTCCTTTTTTTGTTTTTGATTTTTTTGTAGTTGTCTTTTTTTGCTTTCTTTTGTTAATGGAAGTTCTTTTGTTGCTTCAGGAAGCAAGAATTTATGGTGATTTGTCAAGGGTTAGTGTTGGTGGTGATGGTGATAGTGGTGGTGGTAATGGTGATGGTGATACTGATAGTGGTGGTGGTGATGGTGGTGGCATTAGTCTCGACAACTTTTTTCCTCATACACTGCGCTTGAGAAATGCGTTTCTTAACACGTTTCTGTCAGCGGTCTGTGAGAAAAAGTTAATGCTAAGACTGAAGTTAAATAATTTTTATTTGTTAATTTAGATAACTAATTTTGTCTGACACGCACCCCAGTTGTACAAGCACAGGAAAGTTGTAAAGAAATAGTAGAAGTTGTAAGAAGTTGTAAATTTCGTCATTTTACGCATTTGCTGCCACTGTCTTTAACGCTCGTACCTTGTATTTTCTAATTTAGCCACCCCTCTATGAACGTGCCATGCTATGTAGTGTGAACTTGGAGTTTTTGTGGATTTGTCATGTTAGTGCATCAGATATAATATGGTACTTATGTCATGATCTAGGCATAAAAAACTAGTCGACAAACTCACAAAGTTTATAAATATTGATGGAATATTTTATTACTGCTTATTAACATGTTTCACGTGTTTATTTAATGGTTGTTTGTTTAATTAGTTTACATTTTAATAGTTTCACATTATTATGTTTATAAAAGCACAGATGCGTGGGTGTTGTGTGCATGCGTGTGTGCGTGCGTGCGTGCGTGCGTGCGTGCGTGCGTGCGTGCGTGCGTGTGTGTGTATGTGCGTGCGTGTGTGCGTGCGCGTGTACTTGTGTGTGTACGTGTGTAACTGTTTTTAAACGTAAAAGAGAAGTCTAAGCGTTTTCTTAGAATCAATTAACGATGAAATTTCCAATGAATCTCTGTAATCCTCCCACGTTACACGTCCACGATTTCATTTTTAGTTAACCATTACACATTTCACCAATAGCTAATAATACATTACAAGGTAATATATTAGCTCTTGATTTCATACGACTTAGTCGAGCTACGCGTGCAGTTTCCACGTAAATGGTACATGCGGCTAGCCACGCGTAGGATTTTGAACTGCTGTAAGCCTGCGGGTGTGTGTGCGGGTCGGTCCTATGACAGCAGCAGTCATTACCGGCTGCGATGTCATCGCTTTTGTTGTTAAAAGCTGTGTTTCGCGGTCCCCGAGGATGTGCGAGGGGATGTGCGAGGGGATGTGCTAGATACGCGAGCAGCACGATGTATAGCAAGCAGAGAGAGAGAGTGAGCACGTTATTTAGTAAGAACGTACACGCATTAATGATTATTACTGCAGCTGTACTAGATAACGTGCTCTGTCTGCCTGCTATACGTCGTTCTACTGCGAGCGCCATATAGATAATATATATGCTTTATTTACGCATTGCCCTCGAACCTTCGCAGCAGCGTTTTCCCCCGGAAGTCGTGGGATGTTCCCCCCGATTCTGGAATTTTCCCGGTTTGCTCGCTGCGTCACTGCGTGGTAGTGGGTTGGCGTAGGGGGGAGGGGGGGGGGGTCGTGCGGCGGATGTGTGTGTGTGTGTGTGTGCGTGCGTAAGCGTGCGTGCATGTGCGTATGTATGTGTGTAGCGGATGTAGCATCTCGCTAACGGGTATCTTCGCTTCGTTACAGGTGGCCATAAAGATCATAGACAAGACACAGCTGAATCAGTCCAGCTTACAAAAGGTACGTGTGACCCTTGACGACAATTCCCCCGCCGCCGCCACCTCTGACACTGACGAAGCCATCTCTGTCGCCGCAGCGACGACATAGCCATCTTGGTTGCCACGGCGACGCCGAAGCAAACTCGGTCGCTGCGGCGATGTCGACAAATGACAGTGGGGGCAGCGGGGTTTGACGCGGTCGTGTCCTCGTGTCATCAAACCTGATTGCGCGAGCCAACCCTCCCTCGTAGATAGATGGACGCGAGCGCGCGCGTGATGATGATGGGGTCATTGATAAAGTGTTATTGATGCTGCGTGGTGGATGCTGCAGCACAGCTGCTACTGATTCGTAAATCGGCAACCGCGCGTGGTATCGCGCATATTTTATCCCCGAGAATCGCTTTCGACGCGATGCGGAGCTCGTGTGCGATGCATGGGGGTGGAGTCTGTTCTTTGACTCTTTCTCCACCTTCCCAGCAGAAGACTTCTGCTCTCGATGAGGGAGTGCATCCCCCGTGTCGTCCCCCTCCTGTTTAGCGATCTTGTATTATGATCCCTATGCTCTATGATCTATGCCGTATCCCTATTACCTCTATGTCCTATTATTCTCCGGAATTATGATCTATCTCTCTCCCTCCCTAAATCCTTCCCTCCCTCCCTCCCTCCCTCCCTCCCTCCCTCCCTTCCTTCTCTCCCTCCCTCCCTCTCTCTTAGGATGCCCAAAGTCGGTTTTCTCTACCTGGGAAGAGCGTGGTTTCATTGATGCAGTCAGCTACGAAAGATCACGAAGTCACGCTCGACCCGCCGCATTGTTTACGATCGATTTCTGTTAATGCGAACAATTGCGGCGGCGGCCAACGGTAACGCTCTCTCGCGCAAAATTGTGTTTCCACCTCGGGGATGCGCTGCCGGGTGGCGCGAGTTTTGGAGGCGAAGGCCCGCCGGGATGCTTCCAGAGTTATTGTAACTCCGCCTTCCCTCTTCCTCCTCCTCCTCCTCCTTTAACTCTTCCTTTAACTCCTCTTTCTCTTCACCGTTAATCCCCTCCACAGTTATTTATCACGCACACCCAATCAATCACATTTGTTATTTTAATCCCAGATGGGTCGTTGGAGAATTCGTCGATTAACGATAATTGCAGCCACTCGCGTGGGTGGGGTGTGGGGGGGGGAGGATATCGCAGCATTTCAGCTGTTCCATTCAGAATGGCATTCTAGCGATCGCAGCTGGCAAAAATTAGAATTTACATTGCAAAGTTGTTGTTGTTCATTGAGAGACTGAAGATAATATTTGTTCTATAAGTAACAAATATAAATAAGTTCTATAGATAGTATAGTATTTGTAAAGGAGTAAGTAGTACATGCATCATGGAATCATGGATTAGCTGGACATTGGCAATAGTGCGGCACTTATTGCAGTCTCAACCCAATGTGTGGATTTTGTGTGGGATCTATTGGGTGTAGAATGTTGAGGGATTACCAGAGGAATGTTTGCTAGTGTGCGCGTGTAGAGGTTACTCGATATCTTGTGATCTGTCACTTCTGTCAAATATGTTATCGATGACATTTTTTATTCCTCCCTCCTCCGCTTAGTAGTTATTTCAGTTTAGCCCCTTTGCTCCCGCTGCAGGGGAGGGGGTTGTAGCGGTTGCGAAGGGGCTACGCATACACCCTGCTACATGGGTAGAGCTAACTGCTTAGTATAGAAGTCGGTATCGAAGTATCAGTAGGCAAGTTGAACTGGTGTGTTTGTCATCTTTCTTGCAGTTGTTCAGGGAGGTTAGGATAATGAAAATGTTGGACCATCCTAATATAGGTGAGTACCGTCCCTACAATGTCAGTGCTCAATGTGGCGATATGGTTGGTTTATTTTCCGTTATCACTCCTAATCCTGCTACCTCCCCCCATCCATGATTATTTCTCTATGTGATCCTGTATAGGTATGAATTGCGGAAATACCAATATTCGACAATGACCGTAATGGGATATATTTATCGCTAAATGGTTGTGCTTTTGTCGTGGTAGGTTGTACCCAAAGGTCAGTGAAACAAACTGAATCGTGCGTTGAATTCATGTTTGACTGTGTAGTAGAGCTGGTACTATCACAGCCTGAATTCAATGAAGTCATTCTAGCGCCCTTCCTTGTCCTTTCACTACCCACATCCGTCGTGCAGCAAACTGACCCTTGTTGGCAGGAAAACTGCTCCTTGCTGCCCTTAGTTTCGAACCCTATGAACTGACCCCTTGTTGATGATTCGTATTTTCTTCTATTTTTCAGTCAAACTCTTTCAAGTAATTGAAACAGAAAAGACACTATATTTAGTCATGGAGTATGCAAGCGGAGGTACGTTGCCATTTCCGCGTTATTCACATTCACTCTCCTTGCTCTGGGCACTCGTAATCCATTCACTAAGAGCTAGGATATATTCTGTGGTTCTGGTTACTCACATGTCCTACTAAGTGCTAGCTGCATGTGCACTGTGATATCATCCTCATTCTGATCGCGGTATGGGAGTCAGAATGGGACATCGGGGGGGGGGGGGGGGGTAGTGCGATTCTGCATAATCGGTTGGTTTCATGTGGACGAGGGTGGGCACAGGAACGTTGGCCTCCAACAGCTTTCAACAATATATACTCCTTCTATGCCAAGATGATACATATATCTTTGACTCTATATGTCTCTATAATCTATATCATATGATTTATATGATCTATGATCATATCTGATGATATGATCTATAACTATCCATAACTATGATCTATATCATATATCTTATTCGTGTAGTTACAAGTATATCCGCCTATGTTATGGTATGAAAGATGCTTGCCACAGAATGAACTCGATGCATTCTCTATTCGTGCTTAACCACCCGTATGTACGCCTGCCTGTTCTAGGTGAAGTGTTTGACTACTTGGTAGCCCACGGTAGGATGAAAGAAAAGGAAGCAAGAGCCAAATTTCGACAGGTATGCAGTAGGCATGGGACGATTCTTTGATATATATCGATGTATCGGGGTACAAATCTCAGCGATGCACGTAGCGATACATCCGGTCATTCTCGATATGTGTATCGATACTCTAATGCAGGGATGGGCAAACTGCGGCCCTCTACGGGGTTCTGTGCGGCCCGCGGAAGCCTGCAAAAAATAAAAAAATAGAAAAATAAAAATAATTTTTTTTTTTAAATCAATAACTTTTTGTGAAAGTCAACATGTTTGTGCTTGAACGCGAGGCTGACTTTTTCAATGTCATACAGATTAATGTTCTATTGTCTCTGGTTCGCTCTGCAACGCCATTTCAGCTAATTATGGTCCAGAGATGGCGCCCTTGAGGCGAAACGCACGTATTATCTTAGATCGCACCGCCGATTTTAAAAGGTGCGGCCCTTTGACTTTTCATGGCACACTGATGCGGCCCTCACTTTGAAAAGTTTGCCCACCACTGCTCTAATGATTAAAATCTATATCATAATTCACTAGCATATTATCAGGAGTCTATCAATAGGAGTAAGACAGACTAAAACCGTCAAAATTCAACATTTAGTCAGACGTCCCAAGTCTCCCGGTCTCACCGGGAGACTCCCGGTATGACACGCTGCTCCCGGTGCCCCGGAATGAGGTCAGAAGCTCCCGGTCGTAACATTTTTCAGCCATATGAAAATTTACATCAGTAAATCAGTAAATTACTAAATTTGCCGTTGTTGTTGATGTACTTTGATTCCAGCGAACAATAATAGGCGATAAAACGATGATTTTACATGTATACTTTATAAAAAATGGTGGTGTGCCGCGACAAACACATATCCCAGCCCGCCACAACTTTTTTCCTGTTTTTGCGCACTGCGAAAAAACGGCGATAGACCTGGCTCCCTTTCTTGGATTGCTGGGCCAATGCTGGCCCCCTTTCTTGTATTGCTGGCTCCCTTTCTTGGACTTTCCCAACTTGGGACCTCTGATTTAGTAGCCATAGTCTACCTATGATTTATTGTGTTTAACTCGATAAACTTGAGCTCAAGTGTTACCTTAATCATTAAACTAATTCTGTGTCTAATCGTTAGTCTCACAAAAATGACAAATCGGGAGATATCGGTTCAAACGTACAATGTGGGGTTTGGTGATCGCCTGGGCGATAGTACTTGCCGGCTCTGAGCACCAAGACTAGCAATAGCCTTATCAGGAGTGCGAGACTCCATGACCAATTTACAATGATGTTAAATAAATTAAGAATAGAAATTTAACATATAATAACAAATGTAAATAAGTATGATAAATGTTACTTTAGTCTAGCTACTACCAACGACAGCAAGAGCAGCTTGTTTACAACATCGTAGCCATAGCAACAGCTTGTCAATGCAACATTAATTTACTAAATAGAAGTTGGCAATGCAACCTAGCACAAGATAATATAACTAATATAATAAATATTAGAAATAAAAAAATTCACAGGTTTCGTAATTTTATCCATTTTATTTTTCTTAACAATATCGTTCATAACATGTCATTACTGTCATTCGACATGGCCTATAAATAACAGCAAGTCGTTTTTAACTTTCCGAAATCCTTGGCGAACCTCGCTAGTTGTTTGCATTGCTCTGCAGTGGAGGGCGATTCAACAGCGTTGCCCTTTGTTTCAGCTGAGTTCGGGCCACTGTTGTTTACAATGTGGTATAAATTGATAAAACCACATTGTACTTTTGAACCGATAGCTGCGTTCACACGTATACACGGCCTAGCTGGTACCGTACTTAGTTGGTGCTAAGTTCGGCTAAAATGTGTTCACACGAGATACACGAGATTCGAGGCTTAGCTAGCTAGGTATAATATAGACTGGTACCCGGTCGACAGTTCCACACGCTACACTAACGTCGTGCAGCGAACGGGTAGCAGTCTAGGTTAGCGCGCTACAGTTTCGCAATTCGAATGCGTTCACACGACAAACAATAGGCGGCCAGCGTGGTGCCGAATATACGCGGCTTAGTTGGCGCGGAATATGATAGCGTGCTAATTGCAAGCCGGAGCAATCGCGGCTAAGCAAGCCGCGTATATTTTAGCGTGTGAACACTTAAATACGGAACTAAAATCCTCGTGTGAACGCAGCTGATATCTCCCGATTTGTCATTTTTGTGAGACCAATGATGAGACATGGAATTAGTTTAATGATTAAGATAACACTTGAGCTCAAGTTTATCGAGTTAAACACAATAAATCATAGGTAGACTAAGGCTACTAAATGTTGAATTTTGCCGGTTTTAGTCTGTCTTATTCCTATTGATAGACTCCTGATATTATTATTAATTACCCTCATGGTCTCTGAAACCTCTCACCCTCACCGTCGCTTGTACGTTATTGCGGATCATATTAACCGTACAGTATTGCCACCAGAAGAATGTGATACACAGAGACCCCTCACTCTCACCCTCACCCTCACCTTCACCCTACCCACCACCCTCATGCTCACCTTCTCTCGTTATTGCAGATCCTATCAGCCGTACAGTATTGCCACCAGAAGAATGTGATACACAGAGACCTGAAGGCGGAGAACCTGCTGCTGGACAGCGACATGAACATCAAGATCGCAGACTTCGGCTTCAGCAACGAGTTCAAGGAGGGAACGAAGCTGGACACGTTCTGCGGCAGCCCTCCCTACGCCGCGCCCGAGCTCTTTCAGGGTGAGCAGTGGGGTGGAGGGTCAGGGGGAGGGGAGGGGCCCGCATGCACACGTGCAAGCTTGCATCCAAACGACCTCCTATTTAGTTTCGGCGGTTTGCGCTCCTTTTTCAACGAACGCATCTTCAGCGCTAAGTTCTCGCACACCCTAGAGGCCTAGACGCTTCGTGTCCTGGCCCCTCCCCGCCTGCTCCAATCGGTGAAACAAATGGTACCCCACCCCTTGACGCTTCAAGCCCCTAACCCTCCCCCAGTGCAACAAATATTACACCTCGCCCTCACACTCACCCACACCCACCACCCTCACGCTCACCTTCTCTCGTTATTGCAGATCCTATCAGCCGTACAGTATTGCCACCAGAAGAATGTGATACACAGAGACCCCTCACCCTCACCCTCTCCCTCACCCTCACCCACACCCACCACCCTCACGCTCACCTCCTCTATTGACGAATAGTAAAGTATTAATTTGTTTTCAATTTTTAACTTTTTAACTTTTCTTATTTTTTTAATGAATATATATATCAAATTTATTTTTTTAATTTTGAAGTGGCAGAAATACTGGCTGAAGTTGCAGAAGTACTTACTCCTTTGACGCTTCGTGTCCCGGCCCTTTTCGTTCCCCCTGAAAGAGCAAACCTTCCTCCCCTCTCCCCACCCGCTGCTCACACTGAAAGAGCTCGGGCGCGGCGTAGGGAGGGCTTTATGTCCCACCCGCTACCCCTCCCCAATCGACCCTTAGAGCGTATAAACGCAGATGCCTGCTCTCTGAATGTTCTCGCCGTTTCGACTCACGTGAGTTTCGCGTCCGTTAATGGATTCTCTTCTTTTATTTAAAAAAATTTCTCTAATATTCTAGTTAAAGTGATGTAAAAAATAATTTTAAAAAATTCTCTAGTTAAAATACTGGTGATGTGTGAGCAGGATATGTAGAGCGGCTGCAGTGAAACATTGCTGTTCATGCGGGCGGGGGGATATATACTAACCAGTGCATCGCCGTATATGTAAATGTCGAGTCGAGGAAATAGCGAGGAGGTCGTTAATAAGGACGTCGTCGGTGCGGAGCGTGATTGATGGTCGCAGCGCGCGCGGGACGTCGGAAGACGGGCGGACGCGGCTCGCGCGCGAACCCGCTCGACGCTAATTTCACGTCGCTGACACTCGAGAATGATTGCCCGTCGTTTTGCCAGATTCGACGATCGCCGGAAGTTCGTTAAAGCGTCTGCCGCGCTCGAGCGATGGCGCGACTCGTGTATAGCGTAACTGTTGTTGTATTGTATTGTATATCAGGTTGTTGTATTGTATTGCGTATCATGTTGTTGTATTGTATTGCATATCGTGTTGTTGTATTGTATCGCGTATCGTGTTGTTGTATTGTGTTGTGTATCGCGTATCGTGTTGTTGTATTGTGTTGTGTATCGCGTATCGTGTTGTTGTATTGTGTTGTGTATCATGTATCGTGTTGTTGTATTGTGTTGTGTATCATGTATCGTGTTGTTGTATTGTGTTGTGTATCATGTATCGTGTTGTTGTATTGTGTTGTGTATCATGTATCGTGTTGTTGTATTGTATTGCATATCGTGTTGTTGTATTGTATCGCGTATCGTGTTGTTGTATTGTATCTCGTATCGTGTTGTTGTATTGTATTGCATATCATGTTGTTGTATTGTATTGCATATCATGTTGTTGTATTGTGTTGCGTATCGCGCATCATGTTGTTGTATTGTATCGCGTATCGTGTTGTTGTATTGTATTGCGTATCGTGTTGTTGTATTGTGTTGCGTATCGTGTTGTTGTATTGTGTTACGTATCGTGTTGTTGTATTGTGTTGTGTATCACGCATCATGTTGTTGTATTGTGTTGCGTATCGTGTTGTTGTATTGTGTTACGTATCGTGTATCGTGTTGTTGTATTGTGTTGTTTATTGTGTTGTGTATCATGTTGTTGTATTGTGTTGCATATCATGTTGTTGTATTGTGTTGCATATCATGTTGTTGTATTGTGTTGTGCATCGCGTGTTGTTGTATTGTGTTGTGCATCGCGTGTTGTTGTATTGTGTTGCGTATCGCGCATTATGTTGTTTTATTGTGTTGTGTATCGTGTTGTTGTATTGTGTTGCTATCGCGCATTATGTTGTTGTATTGTGTCGTTGACCTGCGATTGTCTCTCTCTCGCGCCGGCAGGGAAGAAGTACGACGGGCCGGAGGTGGACGTATGGAGTCTGGGAGTTATCCTCTACACACTTGTTAGCGGCTCGTTACCGTTCGACGGACAGAACCTGAAGGTAGGTCGCCACGGCAATGTGTGCTCCGCCCTGATCGCCATGACGACACCAAACGAAAGTGTCGTCGCGCGTAAAACAATTGTCGATGACTCCGACGGTACTGATGCAGACGCACGCGCAATTTAATTCTAAAATCGCGTTCAACCTGCGATTGTTTCCTGAGATTCACTAGTTTTTGCCGCTGGAACTAATCGCAGACGTGTCACATGGCGTCATGGCGGCAGCGATCAATCAACGCGCTAATCACATGCCGTCACGTGTCCAGCGCGCAAAGCGAATTCGTTGACACGTCGACGGTGTCGTCTGACGGTGTTTGTGTGTCGTCTGCTGCAGGAACTGAGGGAGAGAGTTCTACGTGGCAAGTATAGGATTCCCTTCTACATGTCGACCGACTGTGAAAACCTTCTCAAGAGGCTACTGGTGCTGAATCCGGCCAAGCGGACAACACTCGAGGTATCGGCAGTCAATGCTGTCATCACACGTCGCTAGTATGAACTCTTCTCAATGCTGTAGGTTGCGTCTGAGAAGCACAGACCTCATAACTATTTCATTGTAACACATGAGAGAGCCTTTTCTTCTTGATGTCATTATCGCTAGCACTTTCCATTTTCTTTGCCTTTCTTTCTCTCGTTCTTTGTCTTTTTATCTCTCTCGCTCTCTCTCTCCCTCTCGCTATCTTTCTCTTGCCCTCCCTCTCTCTCTCTCCCTCTTTCTCACACACTCACTCTTTCTCCTTCGCTTTCTCTCTTTATCTCACTCTCTCTCTCTCGCTCTCTCTCGCTCTCTCTCTCTCTCTCTCTCTCTCGCTCTCTCTCTCTCTCT